ACAGGAAGCCAAAAAACAGGTCCCTAAGGCAGGCATCTGTCTTAAATGATATCATTTGTCAAGTTTCCAGCATCTTGTGGTTGTGAACACAAAAAGAAGTTCTGTGTTATACTAAGGACATTACATACTCATTAGTTGGAATGTTCCTGAAGTACATAATACAGGATTTTCATTTAATAAGAAGCAGCTACTTGCCACTGCATTGTACATAAAATAAATTCTGGATATGCTAATTGCCACTCAAAGATGTTCTACATAGTTTTTGACAGGTTTTTCTCCCTACCCCCTTTAAACTACAATGTGAAAAAAAAAAAAAATAAGCAGCGTATGTTATTGCTGCACATTAAACATTTTTGTAGAGTCTTTTATTTCTGAGATGTGGATTTTTGCAATGACAAATATTGAAAGCTTTAACGCGGATATTAAAAAAGGAGCAAGTGACCCACAAGGATATCAATTTATATTTGGGATGGGGGCGGCAGAATAGCAAGATGGCAAAACATAGAGAAATATGTATAAATCAACACAGCAACTCTTCAAACGTCCTTCTCCTTCCCAAAGACTAAACCTAGCCRTAATTAATTGATACAGCTCCTCTATCTGAGCACTATTAGTGCATTAGAGTTAACTAATACACAGGCTTCCCCCTCGCTGCCCTGCCAGTGACCTTAAGCCTCCCGCAGTAGGAAGGCCACTTGCTGCAGAGCAGAGGAGTAATTCATCCCCCACGGCCGCTCCGCGCTGGCCCCTCTGCGGAGCAGCGACCCACAACTGCGCTGCCATACGGAGGGCACCTTTGTGTCGGGACACCGGCACGCAGAGCACCGGGCTCCCTTCCCTGAACGCTACGGATAGGGTTTGAGGAGCAATCCTGGGAAAAACAGACCACTCGCTGAGCTACGGCCTCCATTTTCAGATCCTTTTTTCCTTCAAATACCTTCCCCCCCTTTTTTTTTCCACTCTCTTTTCTCAACTTAAGTAAGAGTAGTAAATAGTTTTCCATTCATAAAAGAATGTCATACGGGATGGGGGGAAGGTTAGTTGGCTCTAATTTTACCTGGGCTTTGCCAGCTTCTTTGCACATTTCAGGATTTAGCATATTCCCTCAAAACATAATAAATTTTGATTCTGTAGCTTAAGGGATCCATCAGTTAAAACGTTAGTCTTTCATCTTTATTACCCTCCCATTAAAATGAAAGAAACCGGGACACACTTCAGTTTAGAAGAAGCAATTTAGTTGGTAATGTCCTTACTACTCAAGTCTTTACAAAGAGAGAAAGTGCATTATTGCTTATATTTCACACATCTATCTGCATAAGAAGCAACTAAAGCTTTCAGACACATACGATGTTAAATTTAATAATATTCTTTGATTAGATTATTTTATTACAACATTTTTCCATTACCAGTCATTTCCCGTACACATTTACATTCATAAAACCTGCAGGTTTTCCTTTGTTTGTGTGTGTATATGTATTTATAAAGCGTGGAAAAGATCCTCTGCTTTGCTCCAGCTGTTAGAGCTGCAAGGGGCAGATTAATAACTAACTACCACGTCGGGCTGGGTTTTCTCGTACCCTGCACCAGTAACCCCTCGCTATAATGAGGACACAAAGAGGCTCCCATCAGGCTGCTCCTCCTCTTCATAACTCAGGAGCGTCACAGTGGCAATAGCCTCTGGTGCTATTTGTCTTTAGTGCAGTTGTGACACTTCGGCATGATCCATAATTTGGCAGCTATTTACCGTGACATTTCCCTTCAGTGCAGCCATAACATTCAGTGAAGCCATTATTTGGTTCCATTTACCATATAAATTGTATTGTTGTGCATGCATGCTAGCAGCTACATTAGGTACCTGAAAATGAGTAAATCTTGTAAAATAGATACTAACAGCTATTCACCAGCGGAATTTCTTTACTCCTCAGACAGAAGGAGGAACATATATAATATCCGCAAACATTACTGCAAACTTTTCCTTGAATCACTGTAATTATTTGTATTTACATGACACAGCAGTTATTCTTACCCACTTGCTGCGACACACAAACACACGCACGCCGACACACGCAGGCCCAGAGCGGAGCCCTGCCTGGCAGCAACCTCCCCGTTCAGACAGGTACTGGGAGATTCGACACAGCAGTTGCGTGGGGAGCCCGTTTGTAAGAGGTGCTTGCACAGGCAGCTTGCACAGGCCKGCAATTGCGGCGGATTCAGGGGGGAAAGGGCAGCTCTTCACCTATTTCTTTGTTGTTCTTTTCCTTGGGAGCGTATGTGTGTTGGAAAGGGAAATTCTGTTATTAGCCTCGGCAAACAATGCTAGATTTCGCTGTAGCAAATTCATTTGGAAAGGTAAAATTAGGATGTAGTGCCAGCAACCACATCTCAATGAGCTGCTATTATTAATAGTATTATTATTTAAATCCCTGCTCTCTACATATAGTATACTTAGTACTTCCCAGGCAAATGTATTATTATTTTTAATCATTTAAGTCCCCACTGTGCACACAGCTTTTAATACACCTTTTTTGCAAGCATATTAAGTGTATTGTTATTAATCCCTTGCTGTGACTCTACAGTATTTCTTTTCCTTGTATGTTCAATGTCCTATCATCATTTAAACCTCTCAGTGTGCGCATGCCATATACATTTTCCTATCCATCTAATATTTAAACATTATTTAAATCCATCATAGCTTACTTATTCAAAGTCAGCCTTTTCCCCGTAACCCTGTTTGCAGAATATAGCTTTAAATAAAGAGGAAACCTTTATTTTCACCTACCTAAAATTATTATGAATCTCGCTAGGAAGGCCTTACCTGTGTGTTACTGTCTCCCTCCCTCCCTGCAGACAATGTTCTCATTCAGCAATCCAAAAGAAATATTTTCTACCTTTAAAAACAAAAATYCTCTGCTCATTCTGGGTTCATTCATGGAAGAGTGATCACGTATAAGCTGAGATCCCTTTAGTTTAACACACGGGTTTCGTTAAAACGATAAAGCCTATGGCTATGGCCCAACCTAAACACTGAACACGCTACAAAATGAGAGTACACAGGACCAATATTCAAGTTCCGCATATAACAAATGTAAACTTTTTATTAATGCTGAAATCAGTATTAAAGTGCTGAATAATAACCCTGAAGCCAAAATTAGTAACAACAAAATGTCATATTTGAATATATATATAATGGGAACCTTCCAGAAGTTCCTCTCTTCCCTTATTTTGCTCAGTGAGGGAGCCTGGGGCAGTTGCATTACTAAAYGTTATTTGTCAAGGAATGCATTAAAAAGAGTGCAGAACGCTGTACGCTCAGGCTGCATCCTGTTACACAGAAGAGATTTCAGGATAAAAACCTCACTCACTGCCTCTGAAATACCCAAATTTAGCGGATTGACAGCAATCAACACCTCTGAAAACTGGGCCACTTGGATGGATTCTGACAGGAAGAATTTAATTGGAAAAATCACTCCCCCTGCAATCCTTCCGTGCATATCCCAGATCCGACTGTGCTTGTTGTACTTGCTGTTCCGCTACACCCCCAACTAACCTCCTTTTCAGATGCCTTTGTTGACCAAAGGAACCCCCTTTTCTTGGACCAGGAACATGAACCACGCGCGTGGGAACCAGACAGCCAGGACTCTGGATGCTCCAATGCTGCGTGGCGCTTGAGACCGCGTCTTCCTAGTGCTCAGCGGGATTGTCAGGACTACTCCTGGAATTGTGGAAAACACCCAAACTCCACCAACCCTTAGTCGTAATGAAGAAGAAAGAACGTTTCTAACAGCAGCCCTTAATGAATGGGGAAAAAAAACCAAAACCCAACCACATGGCTTTATGCTCAGCCTGAGTAATAGAGAAGCAGGAACAAAAACTCTAGCTAAAAACTCCCCAAGTCCCCCCAGAGTGGACCAAAACCAGCAGAAAAATACAGCAGGCAGAGACAGTTGTTTGTTGAATGTGATTCTTCTGGATTCAATGAACTATGTTCAAAAAAAATTGCAATGAGAATSCACTAAAATAAAATTATCTTCTCTACTGCCTGTGCTACTGAGTAAAATTCAAGCTCTTGTTACATGTTACTTTTAATGATTTCTATTATATACAGCCAGTCCTGAATAATGGCCCAAAATTAAGTTTGCCCTGGATTTTTTCCTTCAACCCCTAGGCATTAACAGTCTATCATTAAGTTTATTATTGGGTATACGATCCTGCAAAATTTCCTCTCTCCAACTGTGTAAGAAGAAATGTATATAATTTCAAAAGATTCAAAAGAACCCAMTTCTCTGATCTTAAACATTTGCTATGGAGTAAGATATAGAGCAGTCACAGTTTAAAGTATCTGGAAAATCCTGATTTGGAAAATTACTGATCTGGAAAATATTCGCTGTGGCCGGAATTCCCAGTGTGTRTATTGTTAATAGTTTCTGTTAAGTGAGAATTAATTTTCAAAACTCCACAAGGCCTTTTGGCTGCACCCACGAGGTAATCTATTCCGGAGCCACATTATATGTAAGGGCAGGGGGGAAGTGTGACTGCAGATTTAAAACAGTGTCGCTATTTGCTTCTGTAAAAGCAAAATTCAGCAGCTTCATTATGGGAAGTGAGGTGAAGAATCAGAGAGCWCTGTAACACAGAGCACGCCTACAAGGCAGCTAGTCAGCAAGAACGATGTCAATCTGAATAAAGGCACAAACATTTCCATACCTTTCTTCACTTTATTAAATGTTCAGTAATATACAGGACCTGGATACATGTGAACGGGGCTCAAACCCTCAGTCCAGTAACCCTGTAACATTGAGTCGAAGGGACATTAAAAAGCAATGATAGCGCATGAAAAGGCAAGAAAACAAGAACATTTCATGATCTGTAGTARAAGATTTTTTTAAAAAGGTATAGTTATTTCTGAAATATGTAATTTAAAAAGTCAAATTACTTTTCCTAATATATCTTAATACTACTTTGTTAGAAATGAAAGGTTTTTTTGCTGTGTGACTAGTCAAGAATTTTTACTAAAATCCATGATGGAACTAACAATTATTTTGTGACTCAAAACCAAAAGTGCATTTTTCCCCCAAACCTCTAGAGACTAATAAGGCAAACATATGACTCTCCTTAGTCTTCCTCTAACCATTTTATTTTTTAATCAAGAAATCAAAACTGATGAAAAGGAAGAAAGATTTCTTTTTTTCTGATCTGAACTATGTATGAAGCCTTATCAAACCAGTCTGACAGACTAAATCTGCCTCTGCATTAAGACTTACTCGGTCAAGAACAACATCCTTGTGCTGTGCTGGCCTAAGTGATATAATCGAACACAGACCCGTTCAGTTCAGCCAACAGCCACTGATTTAAGCCCTTTTGGGTAAAAAGAAAAAAAAATCCAAACTTTTTATTAACACCTTAATGCTGTTTTTTAATATAATATCCATTACTAAGTTTAAGAAAAGAAATTGTTTCTAGTAATTCTGAAGCATAAAGTGCCCATTTTCTCTCGTCTGATTTATGTCATTGTTCTGTTTTTACAGCTTACTGTTGACAGAGTGAGGTAATTCAACTACAATTTTTCCAATGTTTTTTCCCATGTACATGTAATCTACAGCACGGAACACCGACTCCAAGCCAGTGAACCTGCCCTCCGGAGAGGCGTCTCCAAGGTCCACCTCGCAAACCAGTTCGCCCTTCTCATACATCTTGAGCAAGTCCCTCACAGCCGTTTTGTACTCGGAAAGGTAGTGGTTCAGGAAGAAACCTCGGATGCTGGCAGACTTCCTCAACAGTTTTGCTGGCAGCAATTCTGCTTTAACAGGCTSCAGGCCAGAAGGGCTTTGGTAGCCAGTGATAAAGCCAATAACTATCAGGCGCCCTTTGGTAGCCAAGGAGTTAACTGCCAAGTCAAACATCTTTCCACCGACGGATTCGTACACCACATCCACACCTTTTGGGTAGGTTCTCCTAAGAACAGATTCAACGTTTTCGGTTTTATAGTTGATCGTATGGTCACAGCCAATGGATTTGAGGAAAGCACCCTTTTCATCGCTGGAGCAGGTCCCAATCACGTGGCACTTGGCCTTCTTTGCAAGCTGCACTGCAAACTGGCCCGTTCCTCCAGCCGCTGCTGTCACCAGGACCTTCTTGCCTTCAGAGAGCCCTCCGAGCTCCTTCAGGCTGATGTATGCAGTGGTACCGCTTACCATTAAAGTGAGAAACTCGGGTCTCACGGCCGGCACAAGAACTGCTTCCCTGGCAGGCACGACTGTGTACTCAGCAAAGGCACCCGCTCTCGTGTAGGCCACYGCCTGACCCACCGAATAGTCTGCACTCGCACTCAGTCCTAGAGCCACCACGTCACCAACACCCTCGAAACCTACATCAAAGGGGGGTTTGGTAGATGGGTCGTATCGACCAGCTGAGTAGTTTATGTCAGATGCGTTAATGCCGACAAATCTAGAAGAAGAAAACAAAGAATCTATTAACAACGTGCATTCTTTATCAGGTCTCTGTCATATGAAAAAAAAAATCTTCCATTCAAACTTACAGAATAAGAGATTCCTCCCCCCAACTCTTCCTCACTCCCTGCCCCCCAATTTCTGCTATGTTTGAATGAGGACAATATATAAAGCACTTCCACCAAACCTTCATACTTTACATTCTGTTGTTCTACGATTAAAGGTAAGTTTGCTTAAAGAGGAAAATAGCCCATTTTCCTCCAGAGCAGATTTGGCCAAGCTAAGCCAAATAAAAATAATTCTGTAAAGTATGAAAATTAATTGACCACTTTATAAAAGACRTGAATACAACAAAGAATAAAATGTGCAAAGTAGTAAATATGTTGATTCTGGCAACAAATTTACATTTTTGAATATAATACTACTGTTAATGACTAACGATCATATTAGCTATCGATGTCGTTTGCAAGGTCGTGTTACTGTAGGCAAGTAGTTCTTTAATTGATGGAGTCGCTACAGCAAATTTGCCTTCTGATGTAGCTAATGTCAAACATTAAAATATTTTTCTTTATACAAATTACTTGCAACACAGCAGAGCAACCTTGCACAGAAGGACTAAAAATCGTAAGATTGAGTATCGAGTCCTGCTGACCTCTAACAGGTGAAAATCGGTGCCAGTTTCTTTTAACACAGGGACACTCTCAGACCCTGACTAAGCACTTGGAGACAATGCCGCCCAAGTTAGGATCTAATGCAAACTCGGGGCTTATTCTAGTAACCCTTTTCGTAGACCATGACAAGATCTTTCCACATGCAAAGAAGAAGGGGAAGATTCTGCTAGCTAGAAAATGTCAGAGGAACCGCGCGCACCAGGGAAGAGCCGGGGTCCGGCTGCACGTGGCAGCGCGACCTGCGGGCTGCACTTGCTAGGGGCACACGCTGCCCAGGCGCGCACGCAGCGCGGGCTCTCCTCCTCGGCGGAGCGAGCAGCGCGCTCACGCTGTACGTGTGCGCAATTTCCAATTGGGCCCGGGGCACGGAGCAAGGGCTGGAAAGGCTCTGTTTGGATTCCCTTCGCTCGCTGCGGCGTGGGGCGTCTCCAACTTTTGCTGGTGCGCTATACAGAGACGCGTATAAACACAGGGATGCGTAAAACGGGTGGAAGCGGCAGCGGCCCTGCTGCGTTCCGCCTTCAGTTCCCCGTTCAGCTGCAATTGAACACGCAGCGCGACCCGCTGCAGGCAGCCCCGCCACCCCGGCAGCCGCGCGCAGTGCTGGCCCCGCTCGCCCCGGCGGCGGCCGAGCGCG